CCTAAACAGAAATGGTGAGAAGTTAGATGAGGTGAGAATCATGGAAAAAGTTCTTCGATCATCAGATTCAAATTTGAGCACATTGTTACCGTGATTGAAGAGATAAAAGATTTGGAGACTATGACGATGAAACAACTTCTTGAATCACTACAAGCTTATGAAGAAAAGAAGAAGAAAAAAGAAGATATTGTTGAGAAAGTTCTCAAGATGAGAATTGGTCACAAGGAAGAAAGTGGTCGGAGCAATCCAAGATGTGGTGGCGGTCATTTCCGAGGATGAGGTCGTGGTGTAAATGCACGAGGTTGGAGACCATATGAAGACAACTTACCAAAGTGGAGAAAGCTCAACAAGAGGAAGACGTTGAAGAGGAAATTCAAAATCAAGATACGATAAATCAAGCATTAAATGCTATAGTTGTGTAAATTTTGGACATTATTCCTCTAAATGCAAAGATTCAAACAATAATAAAGTTGAAGAAAAATCAAACTATGTTGAAGAAAGGAGTAGAGAAGAAGATATGCTATTGGCTTACAAGAAGGATGAACCAAAAGAGATTCACAAGTGGTACATTGATAGTGGTGCAAGCAACCACATGTGTGGGAATAAAAGCATGTTTGTGGAGCTTGATGAATCGGTGAAAACCAATGTGGCTTTGGGAGATGAATCAAAGATGGAGGTGAAAGGAAAAGGAAACATTCTCATACGCTTGAAGAATGGAGATCATCAATTCATTTCCAATGTTTACTAAATTCCAAGCACGAAGACCAACATCTTGAGCCTAGGACAACTCCTAGAGAAAGGTTATGACATTCGATTAAAGGAAAATAGCATTTCTTTAAAAGATAAATCAAACAAGCTCATCACAAAGGTGCCAATGTCAAGCAATATAATGTTTTTCCTAAACATTCAAAATGACATTCCGCGATGTCTCAAGATGTGCTACAAGGAAGAATCATGGCTTTGGCATCTTCGATTCGGGCATCTCAACTTTGGAAGCCTAGAGCTACTTTCCAAGAAAGAGATGGTGAAATGATTACCTTACATCAACCATCCAAATCAATTTTGTGAAGGATGCTTACTTGGAAAGCAATTCAAGATGAGTTTTCCGAAGGAGTCGGAGACAAGAGCAAGAAAGCCACTAGAACTCATACATACAGATGTGAGCCGATTAGACCAAGTTCATTCGATAAGAGTAACTATTTCCTTCTCTTTATTGATGACTTTTCAAGAGAAACATGGGTTTACTTTTTGAAAGAAAAATCAGAAGTGTTTGAAAATTTCAAAATGTTTAAAGCCTATGTTAGGAAGGAAAGTGGTCTAAAGATCAAGTCCATGAGATCTGATCAAGGAGGATAGTTCATTCGAAGGAGTTTCTGAAGTATTGTGAAGATAATGGCATCCGAAGACAGTTGATGGTGCCAAGAACCCCTCAGAAAAATGGAGTAACAGAAAGGAATAATAGGACAATTCTTGAGATGGCAAGAAGCATGCTCAAGAGTAAGAAGTTGCCAAAAGAGTTTTGGGCAGAAGCAGTGGCGTGTGCGGTTTATATATCAAACCATTCTCCAACGAAAAGTGTTTTGGGAAAGACACCACAAGAAGCTTGGAGCGTAAGGAAGCCCGGTGTCTCACACTTAAGAATCTTTGGAAGCCTTGCCCACGCTCATGTTCCAGATGAGAAGCGAAGCAAATTAGATGATAAAAGTGAAAAGTATATCTTCATTGGGTATGACGCTAACTCCAATGGCTACAAGCTCTACAATCCCGAAACAAAGAAGACAATCATTAGTCGGAATGTCATCTTTGACGAAGAAGGAGAATGGGATTGAAAATCAAATGATGAAGACTACAAACTTCTTTCCGTCTTTTGAAGAAGAGAATTTGGAGCAACCAAGAGAAGAGCCAGCTACACCACCAACAACAAGTTCTCAAGGAGATGAAAGCTCAAGAAAAGAAGTCATGGAGAAATGCAATGGATAAAGAAATCAAGTCGATTCAAAAGAATAATACATAGGAGTTAGCTTCACTTCCAAGTGGCCATAAAGAAATCGGTGTGAAGTGGGTGTACAAATCCAAGAAGAATTCTATAGGAGAAGTTGAAAGGTACAAGGAAAGATTGGTGGCGAAAGGCTATAGTCAAAGAGCTGGGATCGACTATGATGAGGTATTTGCTCATGTTGCTCGCTTAGGAACGGTTAGACTAATCATTTCATTGGCAGCCCAAAAGATTTGGAAGATACATCAAATGGATTTAAAATCAGCCTTCTTAAATGGAGACCTTGAGGAAGAATTTTACATTGAGAAACCACAAGGCTACATAGTCAAAGGAGAAGAAGACAAAGTCTTGAGACTGAAGAAGGCACTTTATGGTTTGAAGCAAGCTCTAGAGCATGGAACACTCGGATTGATAAGTATTTCAAGGAGAAGGGTTTCGTCAAGTGTCCATATAAGCATGCACTTTATATCAAAACTCAAAACAATGATATATTGATTGCATGCTTGTATGTGGATGACTTGATATTTACCGGCAATAATTCGATTATGTTTGAAGATTTCAAGAAGGAGATGACAAAGGAGTTTGAGATGACTGACACTGGATGATGTCATATTACCTTCGGATCGAAGTGAAACAAGAAGAAAATGGAATCTTCATTACTCGAGAAGGTTATGCTAAAGAGGTGCTTAAGAAGTTTTAGATGGATGATGCAAATCCAGTTTGCACGCCAATGGAATGTGGAGTCAAGTTGTCAAAGGAAGAAGAGAGTGTGGATCCAACACTCTTTAAGAGTCTAGTCAGAAGTCTACGTTATCTAACTTGCAAAAGACCCGACATCCTTCATGCAGTTGGAGTTGTGAGTCGGTACATGGAGCATCCAACAACAACTCATTTCAAGGCAGCAAAAAGGATCCTACGCTATATCAAAGGTACAATTAACTTTGGCTTGTACTACTCTATTTCTGACGATTACAAGCTTGGTGGATATAGCGATAGCGATTGCGGTGGAGACGTAGATGACCGGAAAAGCACAAGTGGCTTTGTGTTTCTCATTGGAGAAACCGCTTTCACATGGATGTAAAAAAAGCAACCAATTGTTGCTCTTTCGACTTGTGAAGCAGAGTATGTGGCAGCTACTTCATGTGTTTGTCATGCTATTTGGTTACGAAACTTGCTAAAAGAGTTAAGCCTACCACAAGAGGAGCCAACGAAGATCTTTGTGGATAACAAGTCGGCAATAGCATTGGCAAAGAATCCAATCTTCCATGATCGGAGTAAGCACATTGATACTCGTTATCACTATATTAGAGAATGTGTGATCAAGATGGGTGTGTAATTGGAGTATGTGAAGACAAATGATCAAGTAGCTGATATATTCACCAAGCAACTTAAGCGGGAAGACTTTATCAAGATGAGGAGCTTACTCGGAGTAACCAAATCAAGTTTAAGAGGGGGTGTTGAAAAGTAAATTTGATTTGGATGAAGTATTATTGGGCTAATGATTCACTAATCATGATTAGCCCAAACTTAGCCCAAATTCTAGAATAATCTCCACTTTCTTAAGAATAAAATTCTAGATATTTTTATAGAAAAATCTAAATAATTATGATAAGATTATCTAGATATTTAAGTAGAATTCTCTAAATTTAGAATTAAAAGATTTGAGATACTTTGTACAATGGAGGCTATAAATACCTCTACTACCCTTTCATTTTGTATCAAGAAATAATCCAAGTAATAAGAAGTTCTCTTAAGAAAACAAAACATTTCTTCTTCACAAAGTTTCATCCTCTTCAAACACTCAAACACTTTCTCCATCGTTACTAAATTTTTTTTTTCATTCCAACACAGAGAATATCAAGTCGTCCCCAAGAAGAAGCCCGATCCGGTGTGATTTACGCGGTTTCCATGTTAATACCATGTTAATGTTATTACAAAAGGACATGATTAGTTTCATCTTGGTTAAAGACAAACTTTTGTTTTTAACAGCCTTCTACAACTTAGTAGCTGAAACCCTTGGAGTTGATCCCTCAAAGTAAGTTTTTCTATGATTGTTTCTTTTAGAGGAGAATGAGACAGATTTTTTGAAAAAAATGTCTTCTGACGAGTTGGCTATGTTTGTGTTGTGGTTGAAGACAACGCTATCGGGTTAGCTGCTGCAAAAGCTGCAGGAATGACTTGTATAGTTATAAAGAGTGGTATTGATGAGAAACATCCCACATCGGAAATATAAGAACTAACCTACTACTATATAAAGTGCTATGGTCAATCCATTCATTACCAATTGGTTTAAATTTGGAAACTCATAATAAATCCGAATCTAACATGGTATCAGAAGGATAAGATTCTTTGATCTAATTTACTACAACTACTACTACTATACTGATGTTGGACCCTCTGTGGATGTTATTTCCACATTATCCACGCTTTAGACCTAGATGTCTGAGCGTGAAGGAGGGTATTGATGAGAAATATCCCACATCGGAAATATAAGAATTAATCTACTACTATATAAAGGGTTAGGATCAATCCACTCATTACCAATTGATTTTAAGTTGAAAACCCATAATAAACCTGAATCTAACAAGTGGGTAAGTAATTTCACCCTAAAATATCATATAACATGATGATTCATAAATTCATATCAGTCAGAATCATAAATTCTAGTAAACATTAAACATCTCTCTTCTAAAATATCATATCCTTAGAGCACCTTTATCCCCAAACAAAATGAGGTGCTTAGCATAAAAAGTAGAGGAGGGGGACCACAAAAAGAAGAAGTCGATGCTTCAGTTGCCCAAATAAGAGCCAACTTTTTTTGGATGCTTGCACTGTTACGCAGGCCCCACGATACGTAGCGGCCCGCGATTGGTTCTATTTTAATTTTTTTTTTTAATCAGAAAAAAAAAAAAAACTTTTAAGCACCTTTTAAGCACTCCTATGCGATAATCATGCTCTTATGATCCATAAATTCAATGAGTATACTTCATATATGGATTTGCAGATACACAGCGGATGAAGATTTCCTTATTTAAACTACAACTCTCAACATTGGTGTGTATAGTGAAAAGACATTTACTGTAAACTCGTTTTACACATTATCTATCTTGATATTTCCATCAGCAGATGCAAGACTGGATTGAGATCTTGTCTCATGCAATATGTTTCAGTTTCAACTTCTCAAGAGGTTATGCACAAGAAAAAACAAAACCACTATAGTCTAAGGAGATGTCACACGCATGTGTTGAATGGTAATGATACGACCTCATTGATCTTTTTTCTCTACAGAAGTCTCAACGGTCACTTCTGCTTCTTTTTCTTCCTTACCATCCGAATCCATAAGCTTCTCCTGTATCTTCGTTACACCCTTCTCAACCGGTCCCATCGCTTGGTTTATCGTAAGAACCACATCCTTTACAACATGTTGTCCACCGTCCATAACTATGTCTTGCACACTCTCCTTAATACTTGTCCCAGATGCTTCAACATGAGTCTCCTTCTTCTCAACAACACCGCCACTTTCGTCTAGCTTAACTTCCGTCTTCATCCTCGTGATTTTACCGCACTCTGATACCGGGATATAGTGGTAAGGCTCAACTGGGAATACAAAGATATGCGCCACGGCTGCAATAGCCATCTCGATGCAAATGAGAAAATCTTGCAGTGCGTTCTGGAACCTTCCTTCTTTTGGAAGCACGCCGTAGTAACAAAGCAAGGCGATACCGAACCCTTGCCACCAAGTAGCAAAGACGATAGCCTTGAAGCTGATGAACTTGGCCAAGGGTTTGATTTCTTTAAGACGTTCATGAGTCACGTTGTAGAACTGCACTAGGCAGAACAGAGCCCACATCTGGCTGAAGTTTAGCACCACCGCTATGTATGGATATCTACATAAAAAACAAAAGATTCATCACTAGTTTTATTTGCAGACACATGATATAACATGTTTTGTTCAGTTTACTTGGTGCATACCCGTAATACCATTTGAATTCACCATCACCATAAACACCGAGAAGTTCCAACAAAAATGCCAAGAATGCACAAAAGGTTTTGAGGATCATCTGAAAACCAAAAAAAAAAACATCACAAAATAGAAGAAGCAACTGAATGTTAAAAAAGGACAAGAAGACTTACGTACTGGACAAGACCGAACTTCTCTATCACAAAGAGCTCTGGTCCTAAGACATATGGTTCACACAAGAACTTCCAAAATGGGCTACTCTGCTTCTGCTTCTTCCTCTTCTTATTGTTGCGCTCATTTTCTGCTCCTTCTAATAATGGTTCTCTTGATTCATCTTCGAGAAATTCAACAACTCTTCTTTCACCACCTGAGCATACATATTGCATAGTTTGGTTTATTAACATAGTTCTGAACTCAGACAAGAGAGCAGAAAGGGTTGTTCACCTAGACATGCGACCAAGTAACTTCCAAAGGAGTACAATGCGAAAGCCTCATAGCAGTTTCTCAAAATGTCACAAGGCAGTGAGAGTTTTGCATTGGACAAGGAAATGATCTAAACCACAAACATAAACCGCTTCAACTTAAACAGAAAACGACAAAGTCCTGAAGGGGAAAGGAAGAGGTTACTTACAGATTCAGTAGCATAAACAGGGACCATAAACAAAACAGGAACAATCCATTTTTGCTCCTGCAAAACTCATCAAAAATCAGTTTCTCTCTCAAAGACAAAACTATATATTAAAGGCGTTGATGCTATAACAAAACCGAAATTTGCTAAGAAATTACGTAAGAATCTGTCACGCAGATGTATACAATGTAATAAAAAGAAACTATACGTCCGAAAATCATATCTAAAAGGAAGGATTATAAATGTACGAACAGAGGGATTGGTGTAGAAACGGAGGTGCTGGATGATAAGGAAAAGAGAAAGACATATTGCGACGGCGGCGAAAGATCCTCCGACGAGAAGAGCCGGAAAATGTAGATCTCTGTACGTACTTGTCTCGCTTTCTCTCATGTTGACATAACAACAGACCAGGCAACGTTATCTATTATCAATCAAAACTGTGCTTTTCCAAAATATGTTTTTGGCTTTTTTATGTTTTTATTTTTTACGCATCGGTGCGCGGTTTTGAGGTTGTATGCTCACGTGTAACCCTTTCGCGGCCGCCACATATGCGTTCTATGACACATCTCACAATGAGAAAAAAGGAAACCTGGGTTAAAAGTAAAGAAAATGGCTTCTTCTTTTTATCAACAAACTAAAAGAAAATGGCTCTTAATATCAAAGCTCCTTGGAGACTGAATCTTTCCATTTCCGTAGACTAAAAAAAAGAATCTTTTGATGCAGCGTTTCATACTTTCTATTTCTCAAAAGAATAAGGATTAAAATTTATAGATATAATGTTAGATCATAATTTTTAAAGATTTATGATTAGTTCGGCTATCAATACAATACTAAAATAACAATATAGGCTTTAGATCGGTTATCCAGTGGATAAAAATAATTATCTAATGAACGTATTTCATTTTGTCACATCAACATAATTTTCAATTGTGTATCGTTTTATTTTGATTCATGTGTTGTTTATATTTTTATTTTATATAGTGTACTGGTTTTGCAATCGAGATGTACATATACTTTGATTTCTTTCTCTTCCCTAACTTGAAAGTGAAACATATATTTTTTCTCTTCATCGCATGCTTTATTGTTTTTTCTTTTCAGTTCTTCTTCTTCCTTTCTCCTCCTCTTCTAGTTTACAAATGTTGTTACAACTGAGCATTAGATTTTTAGGTTGGATCAGCCCTAATATGTCGTCAATGTTTGTAAACCAGGCAAACCTAAGAATCGCCCAATTTGTTGTTGTTCGCATTCGAAGAACATCAACAAGAATATACAGTTTATAGGCATAACCCTCCTCCTCCTCAATGACAGGTGGATATTTCTCAGATCTATTTCCTTACTCCTTTTAATTTTAAAACCTAAATGGTAGATATGCTATAGAGAGTTATTTGGTTGCGTACAATGAGTTTTTTCCTCCTTTCATAACATTTATTTATGAGGATTTTATTGTAGTTGTTAAGGTTTGTGCGTTTGTGCGTTGAGAAGATAGAATCCGTAGAGTGCATTAAGGTCGCCGTCAACATTCATCCATTTATCACGCCGGAGCTTCTTAATGGATGCACTGATTGCATCACGGTTGTGCATAAGGAGCCTCAGGTAGTACATCTGATTTATATGGTGATTTTTCGTATTGGGTGATTTGATTCCAATGTTGGATAAAGCTATTATATTGAGGATTTAGAGAAGCTATAACGAGTCTATGTTTCTTCACAGTAATTGATAATTTTGGGTGCAAAAACTCATTTTTGTTTTGCATTTTTTATGAATTGAACAAGTTCATATAGGTACACACACCTTTACATATGATTTCGTGTTTGGAAATGTTGGCTTGCCGTGTTTGGAGATCTACGATCATGTTTGTTCTCCTTTTGTGGATACACTATTTAAAGGTTAACACTACAGTTCTACACTATTTGAGATTCTTCTCATTAACAATTTTGTTTAGAGCTACAAGATGATGTTGTTTTTAAACTTATCCAATTCATTGTTATTGTAGACTAATTCAAGTAAGAGATACACTATGGGGACTAACTATAGTGGATATGGGACAATGGTGGCATTATACCAAATATGGTGGAATATATAATTAAAAGAATGGAGACTACCAAAGATTCGACCGAGCTTTTGATTCGTGTGTCTCTTATAGAGGTAAGAGAAATCTATCAAGTTTTTGTTTGAGATCTGATTTTTTTATGTTTCCATTTGATTCTAATGCTTGCCAACGTGCAAATATTTAAGAAAGAAGTTTTCGATTTACTGGACTCAGATTCATCGGATCTTCTAAAGAATGATGGTGCGGTCACTGTGAGGGGTAAAACTCACTCTCTAGTTTAGGTTAGGTTTAGATTGGGAAAAAGACAATCGTGGGCTGAATCCTTTTAGAACTTAAAGAATGATTATGATTGTATTTGATGAACAATGATTACAAAAAACGATTGAAACGAATACAAGGAAACGAATGAATGATTTGTGATTGATAATGTATGTGTAAATTCATAAAAAGCGTGAATCCCCTTCTCTTCATTTCTCCCTCCTTTAAATAGCCTCAGGTCACGTTTAACCTCTCCTGATTAGTCTCCGAGATCGCCTCCGAGATCGCCTCCGTAAACTGAGGGATTTGCAACAGCTTCCTTTTGACCGAATCACACGCCTCTATCTTCGTATCCTGGGCTGTTTTATTAGGTTCCTGCGAGAGAAGCCGGATCTCTTCTTCGTGACCTCTTTCTCGTGACCTCTTTTATCGAAATCCTTGGAAGTAGCCTCCGTCCTTAGGTGAGCTCCACTCTCTTTTGAAACGATAATTCACGCGTGGTCCATTGTTAAGCTCAATTTGATTGATCCACTAATTTCAGCTAACGGGCCATATTTGGGCCCAACAGTTGCCCCCAGCTTTCGAGAAAAGGTACTTTTCTCGGGAGCTAGACCTAGCCGCCGAATCTTAATTTTCGTTGAGATAATGATTACTCGTGATCTTCTCTCGAGGATATCTTTTACTTGATCCGACGGATACGATTAAACTTAACGAAATCAACGACTCAGATTAAAAGGATTTTGAAATAATTATCCTCCGATTCTCGAGGCTTGATGGGATATAAAGTTGATTACATTAACTCCAACTTCCCCACTCTCTCCACGTCTCGATTCAGTTTCCCAGGTAACTCCTTCTGGTTCTTTTATTTTACTGCCTTTTTCTTTTACAGTCTTTTTCTTTTAAGTTCAAAACGAGATTCGAGTGGATTTTCTCTGAAGTTTTACTCCACGAATTCTAGTTTATCAGTTCCAGTTTTTCTTCTTTTTTTTTATTTTTCTCGATCTCTTTACTTCGTGCCCTGTTATGACTGGACCGAGAGAAGGCTCCGGAGAGACCGCAATTTCTGCCGCTGGAGCTCGGATCATGAAGGTGAAAAAGGAGGTTAGTGAATCGGCGATGAAGGCTGAGAAGAAGAAGAAAACTAAGGAGTCGATAGCCCAGAGAGTTTCCAAAAGAACAAAGAGAACCGGTGGCTCTAAGGAAAGTTTTCCCTCCGGGTCTCATCCTCCTTCTGCGTTAAAGGGGCAGGAAATAGTCAATCTCATGGTCCAAGCTCTAGGCCGTAAGGAGTTAGCCAGGGCTTTTGAAGGCCACGAAACCCCCGAAATGGCTCCAGAAGGCTGGTTTTGCGTTCACGAGAAGTATATCTCTAAGAGTCATCTTAGGTTTCCCCTCCCTGATCTGCTATTAGACCTCCTGGATCATTATCAACTAGCTCTTTCCCAGCTCTGTCCATCCGTTATTCGAGTGATAAACGGTTTTATCACCAGGTCTAAGGAGGAAGGGGTTGCTGTCGGGATTAATGACTTGATGAGTCTTTTCACGATAAAGGAAAGTGCTTCGAAGGATGGTGGTAGTGGAACCTACTATCTCTCAAGTAGTCCAGGATTAGGAATTTTTAAGTTTTCCAGTAGCGACGACGACTGGCGAAAGAAGTACTTTTTCGTGAGGATTGATCCTTCAACGGTCCTTGTGGGTCGTACTCTTAGGGCCGCTTGGTCTGATGCCTCTGGTTAGAATTATTAGGATTGTATTTATACGATTTGATTTTTAGTAACCTAATGATTGCCTGGTACTGTTTGCAGACATTGAGGATCCTCCAGTACTTACCGGCAAGCTTACCGGAGCTCTCTTTCGAAAGCTAAAGCAAACTCCTTGTACCTGGGCCTCTTATTACACTTCTCGAGTAGGTGCAGCCAGATTTCCAGATCATTACAACGCTTCCTTTTTGACTCCAATCCCGATCTTAGAGTTAGAAGGTTACGTAATCGTTTGTTTCCATACGAATAAACTTGTTTTTATGAGTTCTGATTTTTGAAAGAATTTGTTGATGTAGTTTCCGAAGGTGACACAGTGGTGACAATTTCAACGGAAGCTAGTACTTCTGAAACCGAGAGAACCCAGTCAACCAAGATGCCTCTTCAACCGTCATTCCGATCAAGGGGTAGGCCAGCGAAAGCAGCCAGCACTTCTCGTGGAAGCGAGAAGAATCAAGGAGGATCCTTCCTTAGCTCAGTGAAAGAGGTTCTTGATGACGGAGCTTCCGTTCCAGTTAAGGATGCTAATCCGGTTGATGAACAGGGAGCTCAGGAGATTGCTCCTTATTCTGATGTTCAGGTCGAGGGGGACGATCTTCAGGTGATCAAGGATCCTTCTGAGACTGAACTCCCTAGGAGTAAGAGGTCACGAATCGATCAAGGCGATAGGCCTTCTAGGTCCTCTTCGTCATCTTTGAGGGGAGGTACCGTTGGGTGGAATTTCGCTCACTCGAAGCCTGGGTCGATTCTTGATGATCCGTGGGGTTTGGCTACGCTGATGAGACACATGAAGCGAACAGGGTGTTCTCTTCCGCCTGTTAACAATCTGACCAACAAGGACGAGTTTATTGAGATTGCTCACTATCTGGGTCAGGTACGGATCTTTCCTTCCCCTTTTCTCGTTTTTTTTTTATATTGGGATATTTATTTCCGTTATTCGTTTCTCTGTAGTTGGCTGGAGCCGTTAACAGAGCTCAGCTGAAGTTTGAGGAAACAGTGAACAACGCGCCTAACACCGAGGAGTTAACCCAGGTTACCGAGATGGTTAAGGCTACCAAGACCGAGCGTGACCAAGCCAGAGCTCAGGTCTCGATGCTTCGGTCTGAAGTTGAGAGGCTCGGTTTGAAGTCTGATGCTCAGCAGGGGAAAATTGAGAGCTTGGAAATTGATGTTAAGGTGAAGAGTAGGAGGATTTCTGAGCTAGATAGTGCTCGAAAGATTGCTGAGCAACATGTCAAGACTTGATTGCGTCGTCTCAAGTCAGCCAGAAGAACAAGGAGGCCGAAGTTAAATTTGCTGTTAGGAAGGGAAAGAAGGAGGTCATC